GTGAGTGGAATCATGAGTGAGTTCCGCGACCTGTGGTTGTGAGTGCAGAAATTGAAATTTGAAAACATAGTTCACGAAGTTGATACGCCATTCATAATTTTACCGTTGTCCTAAATCAGAAGCAGTAATTAGTGCACGATAATCGACCACACTCATGGACATTTTTGTCGAAAGTAAAAGCTATCGACACAAGGTCACAGATATTATTAATAATTATTTCATGTGAGATTTTGCGGCGCCAAACAGTGATAGGATTAAGAGGGACAGCCTAGTGGAGGGCTCCAGAAATTTCGACAATCTGGCGTTCACTAACGTGCACTGACATTGCACAGTACACGGGCCTCTACCATTTTGCCTAAATCTAAGCGGGGATCGTACCCGTGACCTTCGGGTCAGCAGCAGACCACCTGAACCACTATACCACCGCGGCGTAGACAGAATGCACGAAGGAGCTTCCCCCTCTCCCCCTCCCCCAAAAACCAAATTCTCTTCTACATTAGTTTACCTTAGTTTAGAAAAAAAAAACATTAAATAAACATCCTCGACAAAAAAACACGAATGCACGCGCAATTAGTTACAATTAGCGAGCACGAAGTTTGCTCAATTCCGCTGCTTTTCTCTTTCAGGTTTCTACAGATGCTCAGCAGTGACATGCCCGACGTGGTATGTAGCCCTTCGTGGAAACAACCCGACAAGGTAGTGCGTTTGATTTGAACTGCACCCCTTTACTTGCGTGCACGTTTAGGAATCCTAGGCGGTCAAACTGGACCGGAAGTCCTCCACAGTTGCATGCCTCGTGGACGTACACTGTTAGCTTTTTCACTTAAAACACCAGAATATTCTTTTGACCGATGCACGGGCTGAGTAATTATTTTCGTGTAAATATTCGAGGGAACCATAAACGCTGTGAAGCACTGGTTCATTATTAGCGAAGTAATTTGGATGCTAAAAAAATTTGAACTCGTAGCATTTTGTTCGTTGCAAACAAAAATTGCGAGTGAGCATATCTGTGGGCGCGCTTGTAACGTTGGTTGAAATTTTACTGATATTGCACATTACCGGTTATTTAATGTGAACGATGGTTTGGTTTCCGTATACTTGCCATTTTTGTTTAGTTTTTTTCCTTAGCTTTGCAGAGCGGGAGAAATGAAAGTTACTCAGGCGATATAAGAAAACTTGCCAAGCAGTTTGGTTGTAAAGGACACGGACAGAGCTCAAGAAATTTGTGAACATAAAATATAGGTGTGTACATGGGCTGGGGGAGGGGGGCGGCCACTTTCCCCTTGTTACCTGGAAGGGTGGGGGCTGCAAAGTCTGCTCCATACATTGATTGAATTGGGAGGGGGCACTGCGACAAACTTCGCGTGCTTATGGGTGAAAAAATACAGGCAATATGGTGATCGAGTCCAATGAAAAAATGCTCTCAGTGTTAGTTGTGAATGCGACCGCTTGAGCTTCCACTTTCATTGCACGTAACTAGATGAATGAAGAGGCGGTACCAATTGATAAGCGGGATCCTGTGTTTCGTATGTGCGTGGAGGTTGCGGCGTTGTCAGCTTTTTAGAGCTGTTTCACCAACGCCGCTATCTTCATGGCTTTAGAAATATGTAGACTCTGAGATAAGCCGGTCGCGGCGATATGCAAAGCCAACGCTTTGTGCCTGCACAGCATAACGGGTGAAAATATATGACCGAAGCCAAGTACAAATATATAATATTACCTTTGTGAGCTATTTGTTTTGCGATTGCTTGTTACAAGTGAAATACGCATACCGATGCTGAGTCAAAGGTCACCGGCATGTTCCAGAATGACAACTTTCCAATTCATACGTTTTCTTTTCGGCAGTTTATGACGTTAATTTGTCATTCAGACGTATACTGCTAAGTGAAATATATTCCTTTCCAGCTGCATTTGCAGCTGAAGGCAAGGATGTCTCGTGGAGATGAGCCGGACTAACAGTGTAAATACATGAGAGGGCGTCTCACTGAGTAAGAGGCTGTTCCATTTGCGCCATAATGGTGCGCCAACATCTCCTTATATATCATATCAATAAAAAAAAAGGGTGTTCCAGATAAAGTCATTCGTTGATATTAGTCTACCCACCCAGTTGAAGGCAATTCTTCCGAACACCGCATTTGTGTTATCGAGAACTCCTTGTGAAACCGAAGAGGCCAGGGCGTCACACTATCTACGAATATGACTCTTCAGTGACTCGGAAATGCACTTCACCGATAAGGACCACGATTTCACTTGCCATAGAAACACTCAAAGGTAGCTATACGCAAAGTGAAAAAAAAAAGGAAAGATTATTCATGTGAGTGTCAAGCAGACAGCGAGGACACCTGTTTCGATGGGTGTTTCGTGGTCTATACTGTTCATTTCGAAGAAATCAGTGATGACATAACTTCTACCCACAACGGTGGTCTAGGGGCTAAGGCACTTGGCTATTGTTGACCCGCTGGTCGCGGGATTGAATCCCGGCAGCGGCGGCCACATTTTCAGTGGAGGCGAAAATGCTAGAGGCGAGCATGATTTAGGTGCACGTTAAGGAATCTCAGATGGTCGAAATTTCCGGAGCCATCCACTACAGCGTCTCTCCTAATCATATAGTTTTGGGACATAAAATCCCAACAATTGTTATCATTATCACATAACCTTTCTCTGAAGCTACAGGACAGCGCCAAAACTGTACTTCTTGTTTTTTAGAGGACAGTCTTCCCAGCAGTGCGTTCGTGAATGTACGTGTATTCCGAGCGCGCAAGATAAGAAGTGATTGACGCTACCGTCGTCTTTCCTATTTGCTGAATGGCTTGCTTTAGCAAAGACGGAACTGATCGAAAAAGACAGACAGACAGACACACACACACACACACGCATGCCTACATATATTATTTAATATACACTGAATAATAATAATAATAATAATAATAATAATAATAATAATAATAATAATAATAATAATAATAATAATAATAATAATAATAATAATAATAATAATAATAATAATAATAATAATAATAATAATAATAATAATAATAATAATAATAATAATAATAATAATAAAATAATAATAATAGGGGCTGCTTTCATAATTTACACCATCTGGCGTTCTTTAGCATGCGTCTAAATATAAGCAAACAAGCCTCGAGCATTTCACCTGCACGGAAATTCGGCCGCCGTGGCGGGCATTCGACCACGCGACCCAGGCTTCGGTTCAAGAGATAGACAGAATAACCACGGAACTACTGCACCAGATACTGAGTTTCCGATCATATATTACGTCGCAAATGTTCAGAACAGTGCTTGTTTTTTAGCTACTTTGAGCCGATTTCTGGAAGGGCATATTATCACGTGCCTCACATGATGTTGACGGAATTCAACCTTCCTTAGGTAAGCGATCCCTTAGATGTATACAGAGAAACTGTTTATTGAAGAGAGAGATTTTTGCCGGTGAATGTATACTGCTTGCATGCCAGCCTGTTTTAATCCTATGGTGAATGGTATTAAAATATTGCATAAGAGAGGGAAGAAAATAATAATATAAGGAAAAGATATTGGGAATCCTTAAACTTTGCCTTTATTAGTTTTACGCGATAGCAATATCCTGTCCCTAGTGCTACCACTTAGTGCATACTTTTCATTGTACGATGTTACTCGAGAGATTTAAATAGTAGATTACTGCAATGTAATAGATGAAGCTGAAAGGGGCTCATGCCCATAAAGCTTTCGCATATCGCTGCATTCTATGTAATTGGTTGCACGCTTTAAACCATAACCAATTATTCAAATGAATTTCTCGAACTTTCTATGCACCCACTATGCTGGCCTAAGTGAATACGTGCGGGAGCGGGTGTGCCGTTTGTAATGGATGGTCAGCTTAAGAGGGACATTAAAGAGCGAAACGATTTTTTCGCTTGTTATAAATGTACAATTTCCGAGTCCCGAAAACACCGCTTTTACTGTGACACGACGCCTTGTAAGTGAGCAAACACGCAAAACGAAAATGCGCGTGGCAACGCCACCTTGAGATTCCCGCACCAAACATCGTGACGTAAGAAATTTTGAAGGCATCTACGTAGCTGGGTCCTACGTACAGCTTCCAATCGATAAAAATGAAGTACATTGTAATCTCTGGGGGCCATAGACATAGCGTAACGAAATTTCGAAAAATTTTTATTGAGCCATTGCTAATAAAATACTGAAAGTACTTTTTGAAATTTCCTACGTCACACGCGCAGGATTAGGCGCCAAATTTAAAAATTATTATTTAACCTTAAATTTTCCCGCTAATAATCAACTTATCATCGTGAAACATCTGGAATTAGAGTTCTCAGAGTACAGTTTGTCAGTTAAAACGTACTGAATGTTATTCCTAAGCGTCGCTTTAAGCCTCGAAGTCATTATGATAGTCACGTTTTTTGGCGCCCCACGAAAATGCACGCTCGCACCACGCGATATCCCTGCGATGTTACGCGCAGTGTGAAGCTCGCATACAGGACGCGTGTATTTATGAAGCATAAACGTTATTTTCACTGCATTTTATGAAGTTAGTTTAAGTGTAATCATAAGCATAGGCGCGGCTGATATGACAGTTTACGTGCTCTTAGTAATGGGCATGCATAGCTTATGGAAAGCTCGCATATCACACTGATATGCGAAACCAATGGTGTCGTCGTGATCACACTTTGTACAAACGGCTGTGCAGCTGAAATACTTTTACGAACAACTGCAGTTTCAGCTGCACTGGTATCTAGAGTTCATGAACTGCACTGCTCAAATACCTTTTTAGACACAGTGTTGTACGGGATTTGTTTTGTGATGCCTACTGTACATTTGTCGAAGTGTTCGTAAGTACGCTATGTATACGTAACACACATAAAGACTAATTAAAGCAAAAATGAATTTAAAAATGAAGCCTGACTGTGTGGTAGAACAGCTATTTGCCACGCAAACGACCCGAGTTCAATCCTCACTTGGGCTCGGAAATTTTTATTACTCACCTGAGGCACCGCCATCTTAACCAACGGAGATTGGGAAGAGACAGGGGTTAATCCCCTCTTCCCCCACCTCACCCGGTAAAACTGCTGGACTTTAAATAAAGTCTATTTATTCATTCGTACTTTATTTGCGCCTTTCTTGGTGTTTAGGTCACGCACAAGATGTTGATTTTTCGCTCACAACCAAAGATACCTACGGCGACACTGACATCGATGCCGACACCGGAATTTCCGCAAAGCCAGCTCTTTAACGCGTTGAAAAATATTTTTAAAAAATTTCAAATACAGAAGCTGCAGCTTTCACATTTACTCGCATGCCACGCTACGCAGCACTCATTGACTCAATTTTGGCAAAATGAAGGCAAATGTTGGCTATCCGCTTTCATTAAAGCAATTGATTTGTGCCTTCGTTCAGCCTCACTTACCATGATTGACTAACAAACGCATTGGGACCATATTGTTGATCTCAGTCACGCGAAGTCTACGCAGCCAGCGTTAACCACTAGGACTTCGTTTGAGTACGAGTTTATTCGTGACCTATTGAAATTTTTTTTCTTTTGCGGCGCTGCTAAGATACACCCAACAAAGCAGCGAAATACAGAAGTAAAGGAAAGTTTGTAAGTTTGTTGACAGGAACTCTCGCGTTTTTTACCTTGTACCCGGAAAAGGGAACTTCAGTGCGAAACAACGAAAGAGGAGAGTGTGTCAACTACATAGTCGTGCAATGTCTCAGTTATACCCGCAGCCAGAAGTTTTTTTTTTTTCAGTGAAAAGGGGGGGGGGGGGCAAATACTGAAGGCCTTGGCTGTTTCTGAGAAATAAGTACTTATATTTTATTGCCTCTTTTCCATAACTCCCCCATCCCCCCCCGAGGGAGGTAAGAAGGGCTTCCCCTGGCTACGGGCTTAGTCCAAGAACAACACATACCAACGTTGTCAGTCAACAGCAACAATGTTTACTCCAGTTTTCCAAATAAACCACGTGAACGCAACCTGCGTTAATATACGGGTAGGTAAGTGCCGTAGAACTGTTTTTTCTATTAGGTTGTCTAGTTTTCAACCCGTCGCGGTAAGCCAAGGTACTCGGCTGCTGACTCGCAGGTCACGGGGTCTAATGCCGGCTGCGGCGGCTGCATTTTCGGTGGAGGCGAAAAGGCTCGTGTGCTTAGCTTTAAGTGCACGTGAAAGAACGCCAGGTGGTCCAAATGTCTAGAGCCCTCCACTATGATGTCTGTAGACCTAGTACGGGTGAGAGGGCTACTGTTTGGAAATTTTCAAACTTATTCACAATACAAACAGTTAAGCCGAACCAATTATTTTTCAAATGACGGCCCAGCCACTGTATGGGAGCGGCCGTGAACGTTCATAGGTGCCCTTCCTTGACAGCCAACACCACGTTCAGCGGTGAGAGCTGCCAGTTCTCCCAGCCCAGTGACGAATGCGGCGACGACTTCCGTCCCAAGACGTCGACCCACGGCCTTCCCCTTGACTTCCTGCGGAAACGGCGATGTCACGCTCCTCTCGGCTAGTCCCAACCGAAGAAGTCTCCATTTTCGGAGACTCCGCGCACTCTTCGGACGACGCATCTTCCTGCGCTACGCTGCGGAGGTGTGTCTGTAATGATTCGCGCTTCCACGAATATTCTGCGTCGCCTGTGATCAGACGCAGCTGCGCAGAATGGAAATGAAATTGTTTTGGACTGCACCAGAAATTGCGAGCACGTCGTGAAATGAACGGAAGCCGGATATAGGCAACAGCGATCAGTACGTGTGGGTATAAGTTTTTTTTTTTTTTTTAGAAATTGCCGACACCTAAACAATGTCGTGGTCACTGTGATGTAAACACGGATAATGAAAGATGCGATACATTTGTAAAAAACTTATATTCTTTTTAATTTCTTGTGCGCACATCGCAGTCTTGTTCCCCCAAAAGCCGTAGATTAAATAAAGAAAGCCTTGCAGTTTCGTCAAGCAAGCTCATTTTTCCGCGCATATACTCTCTAATGAGGCCCAATGCAGTTATAAAAAAGCCCCAGAAATTTTGCTTCATTGCGTTATTCTTTCTGACAACGTAAGGTCATTAACATCGTTTTACATACATTGATAAATTCATACAGATATATACGCTTTACTAAAAAAGTGAACGCTCACAGGAGTTAACTTGAAGGGACCTAAGGAAATAATGTACTTAGCTCAAAGTTCCCTAGGCTGAATATTCAATAGAATACGAAGTACATTGAACCAACGAATACCAAGAAAAAATGTGAAATACAATATATTTCGAAAAGATTGTCTAGTTTTTATTATGACAGGCGCGGAGCAAGGAAATGTTGTTCAGAGAGTCTACTTTTGTATGCACGGCCTCTGGCAAAGACCGTTTCCATGTCAAGAAGTCTCAAAATGTCTTAATATATTCTACACAGCCATATAATCCTACACAGCAGTATATCTTGAGCATGTGCATGTGTATCTTCGGCCCTTTATGACGTTTTTTTTTATTTGGACAGCCAATGTAGCCAGTGAGAAAGCCACCGGGTCTATTTTGCTAACGCTTAGGGTTTTACAGGCGATAGCCTGTGCTCACGAAGCCTTGCTAATTCACTTGGATCATTCTAAGTCCCTTGAATTTGAGGTAACTCACGCTTAAGAGGTTTGATCTATTTTTTGCTCCCGCTAGATTCTCTCTTAGTTCCCACCTAAGCCACTAGATTCCCAATTAGGCTACGGGGCCTGATAATAATGCACACTTAAGTCACTTAATTTTTTCGATCCAAAGAGGATTCACTTCCTTCCCAATTCACTAAACTAATTGGCTCTAATGTAAGCTTACTAAGTATACTTTCACTTTGAATTCATTTTAACTCACTAATTTTAATTATTTAGCATTCTTACTCCTGCATTAAATGCGAAGCATTTCTTACCCAACTTCGGTGACTTTGAGCGTATCTATCTATCTATCTATCTATCTATCTATCTATCTATCTATCTATCTATCTATCTATCTATCTATCTATCTATCTATCTATCTATCTATCTATCTATCTATCTATCTATCTATCTATCTATCTATCTATCTATCTATCTATCTATCTATCTATCTATCTATCTATCTATCTATCTATCTATCTATCTATCTATCTATCTATCTATCTATCTATCTATCTATCTATCTATCTATCTATCTATCTATCTATCTATCTATCTATCTATCTATCTATCTATCTATCTATCTATCCGCCTACGACGTTTAGCTCTCCTGGCCGTTTCGATAAAGGTATCAATACCAAACGTGGTATGGCATAACTTGTCTGTATGAAGAACATACTTGATGAGCCATAACATGAAAATCATAGCATGTCTGTCATGAATGTCATATTTTTATGTCATGGTCCTGCAGCTCTTGCGGTGGTTTCATTCTCATGGCATGTTGCAAAACTGGTATGGTATGACATGATTGCATGGCGAACACAAGTGACAGACCCTAACATGAAAATCGTGACATACGTGTCATGTAACAACATGACTACTTACCACACTCACGATGCACTCGCGGCCGTTTCGCTAGCGTCACATATACCAAATTTGGTATTACGGTACGTGAACGGATGATGAAAGTATGTGACTGGTGCATACCTGATAATGATGAGATGCGTGTCATATCACAACATGACTACATGTCACGCTCATAATGCGATGGCGGCCGTTTCGCTAGCTTCACATTTGCCAAATTGGTAATACGTAGTGTCAATGAATGACGAAGGGATGTGACTGGTGCAAACCTGATAATAATGAGATGCGTGTCATGTGAGAACATTACTACATGCCACAGTCAGGGCGCCAATACATTTCGACCTGACGCGGTGCGCGTGCTCACCGGCATTCATTTCGTCGGGTCACGCCGGCGTTGCCACGCCAGGCATTGGTCCTGTCGTATACTCGTAGGCGTGCACCACGCTACGTTGCTTTGACGCATGCGCGTTTCAGCGCGTCCGGCGTCCCTCCATCACGAAAAAAGGGAGACGCAGTGTTGCCTGGGTAACGCATCGGCGCGAAACGCAGCATATCGCATTTCGCGCCGGTTGCCGTCGGGCTGCGCTGACGTAGGCTGGTCGCGCCTGGCGTCAGACTATAGAGTGCTCACGTTTTGCTAACGTAGCACCTCTGTGCCGAGTCTGCGCGCGCGTCAACGCTACATTGGAGTATATTGGGCCCTTCATGATGCACTCGCGGCCGTTTTTCTAGCTCCACATATACCAACTAAGGTGTTACATAACGTCAATAGATGACGAAAGTATATAACTGGTGCAAATATGATAATCCTGACACGCGTGTCGTGCAAGAACATCACAACATACCACGCTCATAGCGTGCTCGCGGCCGTTTCGCTGACTCCGCATATACTAAATTTCGTATCACGGGACGCGAATAAATAATGAAGGTAAGCGACACGTCTAAACATGATAATCATGGCACGAAAGTCATGTACGGCATCATTTACCTCCACCCTGTAATGTTCTGCTGACTGTGAAGCGACATATAAACCTTTTTCATTCGTGCTTCGCATATCATCGATTCCCACTGTACGAGGGATCTGCCAATTTTTTTAACGTCACAAGAATCTTGGAACTGTTTATGTACACGACAGCACTGGACGCTAAACTTTTTGATGGAAGACCCAACTAATAAGGCTTTTTTCCGCAATCAGCAAAGCAATTAATCAGATATCGGAAGTGTCCCTCCCGCAATGCATTGCTGCGATGGGAAAAGACGTCTGACCTCAGTTCTTGCGGCGGCAACTTGCGAGTGCATTGCACTCCGCAGGCATAACACCCTGTCATCTACCAGCAGCGCACCTTTTCCTAGCAAACGCGGTCGTTGTTTGTCTTATCTACGACTGTCTGTACAACACGGATGACAATCGTGTAGTCATCACTCCCTCGTCCGGCTTAGCGCTCCCCTTTAAGGCATTTGCACACAGTGGTTATTTATTTATTTATTTGTTTATTTGTGGAATACTGCA